TCCCGATAAGTGGGATAATCATGATTTGTATTCTGGATGAAACAAGCTAGAGGGCTCACGGCAACTTATGCCACAGAATACTGAACTGTGGCATAACAAGCTTATGCCACAACATATGTTAGTTTTTATGATACAGAAGGTTTTCTTCCTGCTGTTTTTCTAAACAAATATGCCAGGACTCTAACCTGCCTTCTAACTCTCTGTTCTTGAAGCTCTACAGCTGATCAAGATATTGGCAGAAGGGAGGAGGGCTGACTGTGCTAAAGTAGTATAATTGAAAAGGTGGGATTATTAGAATTCATCCCACTGGCCATTGGTCAAGACAAACACAAATTTTAAAAGTATAATATATACAAAAGTATATTGAAAACACGTAATAAGAAAAAGCAGCTTTTATTAGTCCAAGGGAAGAGAAAGTGCTCAATCCATCTGCACAAGTACTCTATTTTAACATTATTTCCCTTATTATATATGTAACCCCAAACACTGAAACAAAATCTGGGGATTACAGATTTTGCAAAGAATTAACTTCAAAACATATAAATGCCAGTACATGTGTCAACATGTACTTTTCAAAATAGTACTCAAAACTCCTCACAGGCACCCCAAATACTAAAAATCACAAAATGACACTAGCTAGACTGTGAAATCTTTTTTTACCAGAGAGAGAAAGAGAGAGAAGACAGGAATGAGGGGGGAAGGAAGTGCCACACAGCATAGGTGCAACTGGCAGGGATACTGCCCTAGGCAAGAACTAACTTCTGAAAAGGAAAGCAGTGACAAACTAAATTCCTTTGGCTGCACACCTTCTGAATTGGAAGACCTATCCTTTAGTCGCAGGTTTGTGATCATGGGCTGTGCTGTATGGGAACATAGGCAGAGGTCTTATACCAGTGCACAATAAATGCAGGACTGTCCATTCTGTCCAGCAGTAGCTTTCTTGGATTTCTTCTGTTACTTGTAACCCAATTCTTTTAATTGGAGACAACAGGGACTAAATCTGAGACTTTCTCTGCGGGGCAACTTTGCACCAGTCACTGATTCTCAACTTTAACCTTACAGGGTTGTCATGAGGATAACATAGAGAAAAGAATCATGCATGCCCCATTGGGCTCCCTGGAGAAAAGGCAAGATGTAAATGTAATTTTTTAAAAAGCATGCAGCTCACTCAGCTATATTCCCACCCCATTTGTGAGAGAAATGTACTCTGCATATGGTCAGAGGCACTCTGTTAGGGATCTGATGTAGCTTAAGTGGAGAAGCTAGGGACTTGATACCCTTAATTCAGACCTTGGCTCAACCATACTCTTATCTTTTAACACCTGCTCAGTCCTTAATGTGGAGATGATGATAATAGTGGATTTCCTTATAGGGTTTTTGCGAAAATAAAACTAAACACAATCTAAATATGGGGAGTGGGAAAAGCACTACAGTATAATATTGACATTTCTACCAGCAGCAAGAGTTTCTGGTAAGCCTCCCTCAATGCTAATTAAGTCCTACTGTTAGATACAGATCCAGTTTGTACCAGTAGCCTGTGCATGCCTGCAGAAAACATTCCCATCACATTTAAATAGGCAGGGCCAGGGGGTTTGCAGTTTCAGCCTGTTCATAGCCACAGTTTCTTTTTCAACAGCAGAAAAGGAGAGGTAAACACAATACTTTTAATGCCAGCAAAAACTGCTGATGCTGGGCACCCCCTTGCTTGTTACATAACAGAAAAACGCCATGAGAAAGAAGATCTGAAGAAAAGTGGGGGGAAGAATCCTCATTTCACCTGAAGATATCTAGACGTGCCAGTTCAATCCGCGGGGCTCAGTAGCAACAAAAGTGGCAGCTTTCCAGCTAAGGCAGCTTTCACAATGTAGAAAAAGGGGCTTGCTTTTGGCTGGGGCTGAAATATGGTGTTGCTATGACAACTATTAAACTGCCATCTTGCACCTCTCTTGCATTTGTTGATAGCTTTTTAATACAGATATTAAGCAAACTGATACAAATGGAAAGCCAAGACACAGCAATTCTGCCACATGTCAAACAAACAGGAAGGGGGAAAACAAGGTGGTTACAAAGCTTTAAAACTTGGAACTAGGCTTGCAGCATTAAACTGAGCTAGGGCCCAGCTCCAGAACATGAACGGCAGCATCAGTGAAAACGTCTAGGCACCTACAAGGTGTGTTGACCCGATCACTAAGTGTGATTACATTATAGTCATGTTTTTCCTTCAATAAGATGACCTCCATAGTCCCAGTCCTCTCCCCGTTTTATCCTCACAATACTGTCTCTTGGTAGGTTAGGCCAAGAGGCACTCACAGGCACAAGAATGTCCATTGAACTTTCTTGTTAAAGAAGGATTTGACTCTGGGTCTTTCCAATTTTAGTCATATACTTTAATCACAGCTTTACATTCATGTAACCAAAAGAAACCTCTTCACATTTTGAAGACAGAAAAATAGCTACCCAAGCAGCTTTTTATACTTCAGCTCTGAAAAAGTCCCCATGGAAATCTGTTAAATGAGAGACCCCTTGAATGAAATGCTGTATGGATAACCAATAAAATGACTTATGCCTTTTGTGTAAACTAGAAGCCTGCCTTATGAAAGCTAAAACACATTATTCAAATAAAGGTTTTATTAAAAATGCATTTTACATATTAAGGATCACGCACATTCCATCGTCCTGTACCATTAATGTGGAAATCAAAAGCAAGATAAACAGGAATATGCAAACATGAGCTGAAAGCAGTCTTGACTCATTGGCATAGTATCAGTGAACAAAGCTTGAAATGACCCAGAAAACATTATATAATGCTCAAGTCAATCAGGCCAAGGCAGGCAAGTTCTATCACTTTGGCAAGTTTTCCATAATGGCTGAGTGACTGAGAACTCTGGAATGAAGGAACCTTGTTGCTACTCCTGTGAGGTCTAGCAACACACCTCATAGCCTTTGGGAGGCAAGCAGCCTCCAAAACCATGTTGGCTTTGAACAGTATGTAGAAAGTATATTAGGATTTCCCAGAACTTTCTTCCATAAGGACTATAAACTCACTTCAACATGTACATAGCCAGAATACTGGTTCCCAAAGAGTTGCACTGATCAAGTTCATTGCCTCCAAAGGAAATTTTGAGTAGACCTTTCCCAGTTTTGGTACTGAGGTTTGTTTTTTTTAAGCTTTTCCCCAACTCTTAATACATTCCTTCCTGCTGGAGGACCCTTTCCAGTTCAGCCTACACAGTTGAAGGGCAGCTTACAATGGAGAATGAAGCACTAGCCTAAAAGCCCAGCCCAAGCCAGAGATATTCAAAGCCAACCCTGGAAAACTTAGTTGACCAGGGCCTCGAGGCAAGAAAACTGTTCCAATACTTCAATAACTGTTCTGGGATACAACAGACACTATTTAAATCTGTACCTTGAAGCTACTTTTTTTCCTTTTTCTTTTTTTACCCTAGAGTAGATGCAGCTCTGATCTGTATGAGACCTAGGCTTGACAGATAGGGGGGACCCAAAGACCTAAATTACCCCCCTGCACTTATTCTAAACATGCAAAAAAAAAAAAAAAAAAAGATGCAGCTGCCAGATACAGATGTAAAGTAATGCTTTTTAACCTTAATCTCAGACAACAAAGTATGCACTTAATAGGCAAGCAGTACCTCAATGAACAAATTTGAGCTAAGGCTTTCAATACATGTTAACAAGTATTATTATTATTATTATTATTATTATTATTATTATTATTATTAAAACATTTTTATGCCGCCCCATTCGCCGAAGCCTCGGGGCGGCTTACAACAATAAATTGAAATTACTGATACAAAATACTTGCTCTGTGCAAAGATAGGTAACTTGTGGCCCTCCAAATGTTTTGGCCTGCAACTCCCATCAGACCAATTCAATATAGCCAACAGTGAGCAATTATGGGAATCGCAGACAAAACACTTGCAGGGCTGCAACCTGTCCACCCCTCTGTTCATCAGGTTATTGTCAAAGCCATGCCCAACTTACTGAATGCTCACCTAGATCCTGCAGTACCCAGTTACCCAATACCTGAAAGTGCCCCTGTATTTGCATCCAACTGTCCATACTGACCTTGAATGTGGCTATCCCAGTTGCATGGCTTTAAAAGGGGATTCAGCATGGATCCAACTGGGTGACTTTGGGCCAGTCACAGACTTGCATCCCAACCTATGTAACTGGGTTGTTGTTGTGGGGATAAGACTGAGAACAGGAGGGTGTAAGCCACTTTGAGTTTGTGATAAGAAAAAAGTGGAAATAAATCAAATCGACACATTCATGGATGATAGGGCTACCAAGGCTATCATTCTTTATGAACAGAATGTTGACCCAGACAGACAAAAAGATCCAGCGTGATCTTTCTTATGCTCTTATTGGACTATTCTGCTTCCAGAGTGGCTAGCCAAGCATCATTTAGAAGCTAAAAACAAGGTATGATGACAACAGACCTTCCCTGCAGTTTATTCCCAGGATTTGGTACTCCAGAAGCACATCTCTCTCTGACCATGAAAGTTCCATTGAACTACCACGATTAGAAGAAATTAATGAATGACTGCCTTTACACGTGTGTCCTTTTAAAGGTAATTAAACCAGAAGGATTTGCAGCAGCCTTTCCCAGCCTAGTATCCTCCAGACATGTTAGGCTGTAGTTCCCCTCATTCTCAGTTACCACAGCTATGCTGACTGGGAATGATGGGAGTAGTAGTCTAACATCTGCAAGACATCAGGCTGGGGGAGGCTGCTGTATACAGTATTCTAAATATGGCTGCATTGTGACACTCGCCATTTCATTTTCAAACTCTTATCCAGTAATCCTTAACACAGGAAAGTTCTGTGATGCTGCTATAGACTACTGTACATTTTCCAAGCATTCCTAAGCTCTCTACTGTGGCTTGCTGCAACTAGTTCAGAAATCACCAGTATATAACATGTTTAGGATTTAAATCAATTATGTCAAAAATTAACACACACAACAAGCAAACCTCAAAAGGTGCTAAAGAAAATAGTTTTATTTAATTGCAAAGACACTTCAATCTTTTTTACATCTGATGTGTTTTGCATATCATTTACACATCTTCAGAAGTAGCAGCCTTGTCTTCTCTTCTGAATAAAGGTTCACTTTACTTTCTGAGGTAACACTTGCCCTCCATCTCTCAGGAAGTTTATTTGTAAATAAAATATGCAATTTAAGTACATTCCTCACCCTGGGCAATTCTCCTCAAGCAGAACTGAGAAGTATTTCCTATTCTCCCAGCAGGTAGTACTCATGCTTGGTCAATACCTAATGGGGTAGGGCAAAGAAGAGGTTGGCTCATATGGTATGGAGAGGACCCCATTATGCACAGACTCCCAGGCAAACTTAGCAGACACAGAACAAGAACAGTGGTCTTCTAATGGATCAGTAACTAACTAAAGAACAGAAATCATAGTGCAGGAATAAATGGTAAATTCACCCAATAGGAGGATGTAAGCAGTGGCATCTCACAGGAAGCTGTATTGGAACGCAGGTGTTTCAATTTGTTCATAAATTAACCAGAATTAGGACAGAGGAGACAAAGTTTGTTAACAACATCAAATTCTTTAGGCTAGTTACAACAGAAAGGGATTACAAGGAACCCCAAAAGGATCTCTCCAAACTGGGAGAACAGACATTAAAATGGCAAACTAAGTTCGATGTAAGTAAGAGTAAAGTGCTGAATGTTAGGGCAAAATAACTCAATTCTGCACATAAGCTGATGGGCACTGAGATAGTGGTGATTGATCAGGAAAGAGATCTTGGGATTGTGGTAGACAGTTCGATGAAAATGTTGACCCAGTGTGCAGTGGCTGTGAAAAAGGCAAATTCCATGTTAGACATAAGTAGGGAAGGAAAGGGAAATAAAACTGCCAAGATCATATTCTCCTTATACAAATTTATAGTGCAACCACAACTGGAATGCTGTGTACAGTTCTGATCACTGCACTTTAAAAAAAAAAGAATTTTTAGAGCTGGAAAAAGAACAGAAATGGACAAAAATGATTTAGGAACTGAACTACTCCCTTATGAAGAGAATTACAAAATTTAGCATTCTTTAGTTTAGAAAAAAGGCAACTATGGGGAGTCATGAGAGAAGATACAAAATTATACATAGTGCGAAGTGGATAGGGAGGATCATCCCATGAAGCTGTTGAATGGGAGATGCAGAACAGGTGAAAGGAAACCATTCTTCACACAGAACATTGTTAAACAAAAGAATTCACTTCCATAAAATGTAGCAAGGGTCACCAACTTTAGAAGAGGACTGGACAAACTCATGAAGGAGAAGACTGTGGGTGGCTATTAGCCCTGATGGCTCTATGCTACCTCCAATATCAGTGGCAGTATGCCTTTGTATACCAGTTGCTGGAGAACATGGATAAGACATTGTTGTCTTATCCACTGCCTTTGGGTTTCCTCTGAACAGCTGGTTGACCTCTGTGTGAAGAGAATGTTCGGCTAGAACAGGGGTCGGCAACCTTTAACACTCAAAGAGCCATCTGGACCCATTTCCCACACAAAAGAAAACACCAGGAGCCGCAAAACCCTTTTGACATCTAAAATGAAGATAACACTGCATATATTGTTTTTTACCTTAATGCTATGTATATCTTCGTTATGATTTAGCTGCAGCTCTTGTTCAGTCACTACAAACTGTTATTTTTAATCTTATAAACTAGTAGGACTCCTTTCATATATTTTGAATAGGAGAACAGCTTTCTGCAGAGTCAAAGTCAGTGCTAAAGGGCTGCCTGCATTAAACAGCAAACCGCTTAAGTTCGTCAGCAGTAAAAGCGAATGAATCTACCCACGTATCATTAAACGTTTGGTTTTCTTCAGAAACTTTTCTTTTCTTCGATTTATCCATGGTTGGCCTACCAGGGGAAGTCGCAGTTATAGGTGTGTTTAGTGACTGATTAGCAGATAAACAGTCAAGTGATATGAACTGTGACAGGTCCCAAGCACAGCTTTTAACATTCAGATGAATGAGATTACATTGGGACAAAGAGAATCCTTTCAACAGGGTTTGAGTAACAGGAGAGCCTGCAGGAAGCTTGTTCCACTCTTTCCCTGCACAATAACAGAGGAATGTAGCAATTTACTTAACCTGCAGCCTTCCTGAGTGGATGCCTCATCATCACCTATTGGTATTTTGTAACTCAGAGCCCCGGTCGCAGAACAGCAACTGTGCCGGTGCGCGTTTCGAGCAACGGAGCCACAGCAGAGGGATTCAAGAGCCACATGCGGCTCCGGAACTGCGGGTTGCCAACCCCTGGGCTAGAAGAACCCTTGATCTGATCCAGCAAGCACGTCTTATGTTCTTAGTTGCATTTATTTGTCCTGAACCCCACATCACAATTCAGCTTCACTGGATTATGACCCTAAACACTGGGGAATGTGAGTGTCCACTTTCTTTGCACAATGGACAGTTTTGTATGCCTCTGCCATGTCTCCCTCTGCTCACATTTTTCTAAGTTAAATTGTTCCAAATGTTGTAATCTTTCCTCTGTCACCTGATTGTTTTGGTTGCTGCTTTTCACACCTTTTCTTACTCTACAATTAACTTTTTTGAGGAAATCAATGGCTACTAGTCCTTATGGCTCTATATTACCTCCAGTAAACCTCTCAACACCATTACTGGTCTATTATTGCATATACAGTATGCAATAATAGATCATGGGTATCTGTTTGGCCAGTATTGGAATTAGAACACTGGACTACATAGACCTTAGATCTCATTCGGCAGACCTCTTACAACTTTAGGGGGTTCAGTGCAAGCTGCTCTGTCTTGCAACACCTCTTTGTCACTTGCTGCCCCTGACAAGCACTACCTGAGACAGCTTCCTAACTCTGCCTAACTTGCTGCACCAACCCCTCAGCCTTTTTAATAATCCAAAGACGAAATGACTGATTCTGACAGCTTAGTTTATCTGCTGCATGGTCTTTTATGGTTTTATTGTGTTGTTCAATTTTGAAGTGTTTAAACAAAATGCCTAGATCACTATTATTAATATATATATGTATGTATGTAACAAAACTTATGTAAAAAGAACATCTTTTGCCAGTCTTTGAAAAGAGATGAGAGATGGGTTCTCCTGTGCATGAAATAATAATAGACAATACATGCACAGAGTATCAGAGCACTGGTATAACACTGTTATGTTTAATGCAAGTATCAAATGAGAGATGCAATTCTAGACAGGAAAAAATTGGTAGATACAATACTACTGGGGACGTTGTTATATACCATCAAGTGTTCTCCATCTTATGGCAACCCTATAAATTAAAGCCCTCCAAAACGTCCTGTCTTTGACAGTCCTGCTTAGCTGCTCTAAATTCAAGGCTGTGGTTTCTTTTTTGGAAGTGTAATCTGTAGTGTTTCTCCTTGGACATGTCTCAAACAGATGTACTGGGCACTTTGCGACATCATTTCTCTTTGACTTGCTTTGTTCCCAGCATTTTGTCATACTCTAGAATTGGCTGAGGATGTGTTCACACTAACAGTTCACACAGTTCTGTCCCTAGTACTATATGATTTACTTAGCCAGGAAGAGATTGCTATAAAATTGTTCCTAGAACAACATTACTTGTTTATTGTTTTATTTACTGAGAATAGTTCAAGGGTAGAGTGTACCATTCTACCCTTCAAGACAGAAATAGTTGAACAGAGTAGTCATTTGAAAGGCAGAATTACTCAGCCTTTCTTGCTTATTTTTTAAGATAGCTTTTTAAATTATATAGTTCTTTTCATGATTTATGGTTTTAATGTTATTTTTCTTCTTAAGATGTTATGGCTTTAAGTTGTTCCCAAAAATGAGAAGTGAAGCAATAAAACAGGACAGAATGCAAAAAAACAAAACCTTATTCTCAGACGTGCCAAAACAAAATTTATACTGAAGCCAACACATTTCAGAACTAGAAGTTCCTTTGTGTCAGGGACAATCCAAAAAATATCATTTTAGCAAAAAGTTGGTATATAAAAGTTAATAATTAATTGATTGATTACATGGTTACTGGATATAGAGTATTTTTTTTTAAACAAATCAGAAAGAACAACCACAAGTTACCTCTCACTGAAGTGGAATTTCAGAGATTCAGAAGTGAAGTACCTGACATGAAATAAACTGCTAGTTTGAAAAAGCAGGCACAGAAACCTATGCTAGGAAACAGAACAAAGGATGGAGGCATGCAGAAAAGAGTTGATTCAGTCCTCAGTGGCTCCCACTGAGTTCCATGGGGCAAAATAAAAGCAACACCTGTTCCGCACTCCATGTATTGAAATCATCACAGAGAAAGGTTAGCTCAAATCCTAACAGGAATCCAGGATACATGTTTTTATTGTCTTCCTTATGGGAATTAATGACATATATTCTTCCTTGGGGAAAAGTAGTACAGTCAGAAATTGCTGGGCAACCCAGCTTTTATTGAAAGGGATGCCTCAGAGGAGGTGGAGAAGCTATCCAAAGTCATTCTTCTGCATTTTCATGAAGGAAGCTCCTAGGCCAGTGGTGGCAAACCTATGGCAAAATGCCACAAAATAGTACACAAGATTTGGAGTTCTACAGAACTCTTAATCAAACTGGAAATTATGCAAAAGAGCTGAGTGAAATGGCTAGCTTGGTGTTAAATCTGCACCAGTCAGTCTTAAAATGAATGTAGGAAGGGGTGACAGACTTAGACTATCCAAAGGCACATGCAGTTTCAGGTTAGCACCAGCATGCTGTGACACAAAAACACACACCAAAGCGGATTCCCCATTTTCAAGAATATAAAATTTAACAATTACTCGAAAGTATCCTCCAGCTTTTGTCCCAATGCCCTAACACAGATCTGGTTCCAAGACAAATAAAGAGGGAAAGCTGACACAGGGCTATTAGAACAGTTGAAAAAAGAACCAGCAGGGAACAAACATCTCTAGGAGGTTCCTAGGAGGGAATGGTAGTGTGATGGTCTGCACCAGCTGCAAAGCATCACTGCATTGGGATGCTGTGGGCAATTTAAATGGCAGGCTTCTTATATTATCAGATACTCAGTGGCCATGGACAGGAGCAGACAACTGGGTATTAATGGAGAGTCCTGGAGGGTTGGAGATGTTACATGTGGATGTCAGGTGCTCCTGTCAGCTGCAAGATAAGTGCACCATTCTTTCTTAATAAGGCCTTGAGGTATCACACATTTTCACAGGGAGGCTGACCTGGAGTTGAATAACTCCTACTGCCCATGGGCAACAAATTCAGTGAAAAACTGTTTCAGCTGATACCATGGAAGTAGGTGGGTGCAGACAGGGGCTGAGATGGGCCTGCTTCTCCATTGGGAGAATGGGGATAATTGAGAGAATGGGCAAGAAAGTGGACACTGCAAGCACCTGAGGGGCTGGCAAAAAGATGGGCTCACCCCCGCACCCCTCAAATTTAGATCGCCCATGAGCTGACAGAAAGATAGTGGGCACAGCTGTTCCATCTATTTTAACATTTCTCAGAAATATCCAGCAAAGAAACCCTTTCTACTAGAGGCTGAAGCTTCCACACTTTCACCAGCCACCCTAAGTGACATCCAATGGACAATTACATAAGCCCACCAAAGCAAGTTCCATATCTCTCCCCAAAGCAACTTGACCAAAGCCAAGAAAGCAGTAGCACCACTGGCCCCCTGCTCCTTCCATCATCCCTTGCCTCACCTACCTGACTCATTCTTAGAGTTCATGTTGTCCTTCTTGGTAGGTGGCTGCCTGATGAATAATCAGGAAGAAGGCGGCGGCAGCTGCTTGGAGAGTTAGATCTCTGGTGATGTTCAGGTAAGGAGCAGGGGCTGACAGCGGAGATGCTTAGATGCTGTTCTGCCAACACTGTTGGGACATCCCTTGTGGCAAAAGAGGCAAGTCCTTCTAGGGAAATCCTAGGGAAATAAAAAATGACACATCAGTAAAACTATCCCATTACAGAAGGAGCCAACTGGTCTTGCTCAAGCTGTTCTGCAAAAGAAAGGTTATGGAGATCACAGGGGATCAGTCAGTTGTTGTCCTGATAAACATCAGGTTTGAACACACTGCTTGAGAAAGAAACAAGAGTTGTACTACCCTACAAAGCTCTTCTCACTGCTCTCTTTACACCCCTCTTCCCCTTGCACCTGCTCAGCACTGGAATCACCCCACTATCTGACAAACCCTGTTCCATCATACCCCATTTTTCCAAGAGACCACAAGTTGATTAATCAACTGACTATTACATGTGTGTTATAGCTTCTCCGCCACAAATCCCCTAAGTGTCAGAGGCAGAGACAGAGATAGCCCTTACCAACTTATCAGTTTGGTCTGATACACTAACAGCTATCCTATCTGGACAAGGATACAATTATCCATGCTCTGATACCCATCAGTTTGGATTACTGCAATGCATCATGCATGCAGTTATCATTTCTAAACAGTCCAGAAATTTCATTCAGTGGCAAAACATGGCAAAATGATTGATACCAGCTGTTTGGATCATATAATGTCTATATTTCTTCAAATGTGCTGAATGCCAGTCCCTTCTCAAGCCCAATTCAAGTGCTAGTTTTGGCTTGTAAAACTACACAGCTTGGGACCAAGCTACCAGAAGGATCACTTTCTTCCATAGTTACCTATCTAGATCCTACAGTCACTTTTAGAGGTGCTTCTCAAGGCATTCCAGCTAGTGCAAATTGATAGATGGTTACCATTAAAAAGGGCCTTTTTAGTGATGGTGCCCCAACTGAAGAATGACTTCTCCAGAGAGGCTTACCTGAAACTACACTGTGATCCTAAAGTCTGAAGATCTTTTTATTCTCTCACACATTATATGAGCGTTCACAAGTTATGTTAATATTGTTTAAGAGCTTTTATAGATTGTTTAATCTTCTCCTATGTTTTAATGTTGTTAGCTGTTTTTAATCGTCTATTTACTTTGCATTACAGTAGGATTTTATCTTCTTTGATATTTAGATTGTAGCACTTAAAATGTTAAAATCTTTAAATCTTTAGTTTATATTTTGCAAACTGTCCAGAGGGCTAGACTAGATGAGTAGTGTATCTAAGTGCTGAAAAAAACAAACATAATTAAAAAATGTTATTTCTCTTTCAAAAAACTGACATGTAAGGCAAGGTTGCCCCTCTGCAAAAATGTACTTTACCCTTTCTGTTTGCCGATACCTTCAGTATATATTCCTGCACCACTAGTAATTTGGAAACAAAAGTTTACCAAAGTGCATTTTTAGGACACAATCCTACATTTCATGTTCAAACACAAATTCAACTTTCTTACTAATTTTTTTGAAAACCTGGAGTCAGTGATGCCTCTTCAATGCCCTGATTTACCAGTCCTGAATTTGCCATTAGAAATTTTATCTTTACTCAGTCACCAAGCAAAGTGAGGTCTTAGGTTTAACACAACCATTTGCCATTTCATTTGTTGGAACATTTGTAACATGAAACCTCTCACTGAACACTGAGATGGTGGGAATTTAATGGACACAATTCTACATTTAAGTCTAAACACCAGCTCTGCTCCCACTTTGGGTTTCAAGGGGAAAGAGGAAAGGTGCAAAATGCATTGTAAAGTGTTATGTACTTTGCAGGCTGAGATATCGCAATCAAAGTTCATAAGGACATTTCAAGATAGGCAGTATTGGCAGTTTCAGGTCTGAACCTCTGTTCAGCTTCCACACCTGTTTTTATAAAAATGTTTTAAAAAACACACACAGAGAAAGATATTCAACATAGTCATTGCACGTTAACATTCTTAAAATTAAATTTGGCAAGTTAAGTTAATTGCATGCTTTGTTTTTCAGTTAGGCCAGAAAATATGTAAGTAACAGTATAATGCAGACTTTTGGGCAGCAGGAAATAGTAGAATTGGAGGAACGAAGGTCACTGGCAGGGAGGTATCAGTAGATAAGAGCATAAAGATAGAATGGGGTCAAGGCTGTAGAACACTTTGAAGCTGAGAATAAGTGTTTTATGCTGTACAGACCAGGATGAGACTTCAGCACAGGAATTTGAAAAGGGACAACACATGGTCTGTTCAGATGTTTAGAAAAGATCAAGAATGCTGCACAACTGTAGATCATGTAAGCCATATTCTGGACGTCTACCCCCACACACGCCATGCATCATAGGTCCAAAGTGTAACAAGAAAAAGCTGGAGAGAAATCAGGTTGCAGAAAGCAATGTGAGAAGGTCCAAAGGATGAAGAAAGATTAAAAGGAACGGTCAGGTTTTTGCAACATCATAGACAGGTGAGCAAGAAGACTGAAGATGAAGATGGATAGGAAAGGAAAGCTATCATAGCTAAAGCCAAAATTCTGCATCTTGTTGATAGAGTGAATATAGAGCAGTTTAGAATAGGAATGCTTGGGAAGAAAGATGAACAGTTGTTAAACACCATAATCAATACATCAAGGCTAAATCTGTTGCCATAAATCAAAGCTGGACATATGCTAAGACTGAGATGGTAATTAAGTAAAGATATGAGGAGGCAGGCAGGCAGGCAGGCAAGGATGCAAGACTGAATGAACGAATGAAGTCAGGGATATATGGTTCAGTATCATCAGCATATATAAGGTGCGGAAAGCCATAAAATTTGATGAGATCACCTAATAACAACATGTAAAGAACAGAGGGAGAGGGGAGGGACTAGGAATTAACCCTTGAAGAACCACGCAAGGCTGAAGTCTAATTTTCATTGGAAACAATAAATCCAAGTCTGAGTTCTATCACTTCATGCTGCGGATGGAAAGTTAGCATGTAGCACAGACACACTCAAGACTAGTCTACTTTCCAACATTCCAGTTTTCCAAGTTCGAGGAGAGTTTTTATATATAGAAATATTCAATCATGTGGAATTCACAGCCACAGTCTGAGGTGGTACAGGCCAGACAGGGCTTTGCCACCACAGCACGCACTAGAAATGAGGGTTTCCTCGTTCCTAAAGCTTCCTACCCTGGAAACATTAAACTAAGGAGATAGGGATCAAGGAGTGTTTGGGGGTTTTAAGAATAAAGGAGATAATAGTACACCAGGGTATGATGCAGGAGCTGGAGAGGACAACCTGCTGATGTGTCCTGCTTGTGGGCTTCCCACAGGTAGGTGGTTGGCCAAGTGGTGAACACAATGCTAAACTAGTTGGACCCTAGTCTGATTCAGCAGAACTCTTACGTAATAAATCAACAGCAAGGAAGATGGCTACTGTAGTTATTTATTTATCACATTATAATTTATTTATTTATCGTTTATTTAGAGATAGGGATCTCTAGGTGGCTTACAACAGTACTCAAAACACAATTCTTAAAAACAATAAAAACATCACATAAAACAGTGACAATATCATAGTGGCCATTTAAGACAATAAATATAGCAAATTAGATGGACAACTATACCATTAACATTAAATAAGTTAACATCTGTTGTTAAAATGCCTGGTAGAGAGAAACGTTTTCACTTGGTGCCGGAAAGTGAATAATGTTGGTACCAAGCAAATCTCTCTGGAGAGCCTATTCCATAAGTTTAGGAAATTATAGGATCCAGAAGGCATCAGATGAAGGTAATAGGGTAGCCACCCACTCTGATGGCACTGAGGAGAGAAGGAAGGAAGGAGCAAGAAAGTGGAGAAGGGTAGATTATGTCTTACACTAAAAATTAAGAAGCATGGCATTTCTTGCATTACATTTAAGCAGCAGTGCCTTTTAAACAGACTTCTTGCCTCTAGTTTTCCAACCTCTGGTTCCTGATAAAAGTCAGGACCAGCTCCTGCTAGCAATGGCAAGGGCCATTCTTCTTTTGACTAGGCCAAGAAGTAGGGAGCACTGTCATGAGCGTGGGTTTTGGAGTTGCCGCATACAATCCAAAGGACTGAAGAATTCAAAGAACACTGTAACTTCCCAATGAACAATCCCAATGGCCTACCACTTTTTTTTCAACACTGGGATAACTATAAAATCAAAGGTGTGCTTGGTTTTGCATACTGATGTGCATTCTGATGGGTTCCTCTTGGGGCTCAAAACTTAAGGAATTGTACATTGTGACAACTATGTAAAGAATCCATAGCAATTCAGCAGATCTTTTATTTCTTACATAAAAGCACAGTGTTAGGCACTTTAGAAACAAACAAAAAAGGATGCACTATAATATGATGCACTATGGGAAGTGGCTAGTCACACATTTGATTTTTAAAATCATTACATCAAAAATCTCCACATACATGCATTTTAACAAACTTAAATTAGGCCAGTATTTCATGTTTGGGAATCCAGACCAAGCATCTGCAAAGGGAGGGAACCTGAAAGGAGTGCAAAATCATTAACCCCTCCCTTGACTATCATTTTCCCGGCCACTTTATGCTGTGATGGACAATGCATGTCAGGAACCCCAGCTGGATGGGGTGACAGTGGCAGGGAAGAGGATGCTGCAGTAAGTGGCAGTGGGAGGAAGGACAGCTAAAGCGGAAGATTTTGGGTTATGTACTTACCCTCCCCACTTCTTTGCTTGAAAAGGTCCCTCACCATGCTGGTTTGCAACTGTTCAGTAACAAGCTAAATTCCAAATATTTAATAGGTAAGGAAAAGACCAAGCTCTTTTTCCCAACTATTTCCTGCTCTTCTCAATTCTCCTTTCACAAAGGAGGGAGGGACCACAAATTAACCTTTGGATGCCCTTTGCATGCAGAAGGTCCCAGTTTTAAGCCCTGGGATCTCCAATTAAGAAAATCAGGGAGCACATGATGGAAAAGACATGAGATCTTGGACAGCCACCACAACTCAGATAACATTGGCCTAGATCAGGGATGGTGAACACCTTTTAGTTCAAGGGCTAAATTATATTTCAGAAAAGTCTGGGCAGGAGAAAGTGTTTTAAGAGCTAGGTGGAGCCAAAGGCAAAACAGGCA